GTTCCCCTTCGCCCCCAGGAGTTCGGGTGCTTTTGGGGTCCGGGGGGGGCCAGACTCCCCCCCAGCCTGTTCTATAGGTGTATATTATATATATGTAGAGAGCAATCGGGGTCCCCTTCTCCCCCACAGCCCCCAGTTTGGGGGGTCCCCGCCCTCCCCGGGGTGACCCCCACGCGTGGGGACACCCCATGCGGTGCCTTCCCTGTAGGTTTAGGGCAGGGGGAGGGCCTGGGTTTTGGGGGGGGTCGGGTCTCTCTAGGGTGCAGTGGGACCCCTGCACCCCCAGACACTACAGGGGTGGGGAGATGCGCCATGGGGGGAGTCTCTGCACCCCCGAATCTGAAATTGGGGGCGTTTGATGCCTTTTTATTTTATTTTTTCTTTTTTGGGGTTGTTTTTTTTTTTGTCTCCAGAAAAAGAACTAAATTAAAATCTGTGAATGCCCCAACCTTGCGCCTGCTCTGTGGGGAGGGTCCAGCCCCTCCCTGCGACTGATTTTGGGGGGGACCCCCTACTCCTGTAGGGACCTGAGTGGCAGCACCCAAACACAGACTTGAACTACATTCATGTTAATCTCCAGGAGCCACCTTGTCACTCCCCAGGTTCTGCTGCCCTGGTGGGGGAGATTGAGGGATGTCTCCTGTGTCCCCCTGTGTTCCTCACTGGATTTGGGGTGCTGGGGATACCCTGGGTGACTCTGGGGGGACGCATTTTGGCCCAGGGAGTCACCTGCTCTGGGGGGTGGCATCCAAGGAGGGGAGGTCCTGAGTGGCACCGGGACCATGGGCAGGGATGTCCCCAGGGATCGTGGGGACACCCCGCGAGGGACACAGATGCCCCCATACCTTCCCCGTCCCCACGGTACAGGGCCTCTGATTGGCCAGTTGGTTTGAGTGACAGGCCGGGAGGGCTGGTATTTCCCCGCCTACCTTGAATTGGAGCGTGCTGATTGGCTGGTCGATCGCAGCCGGTCAGATTTAGCCAATGGGAGGGCGCAGTGTGGCCCTGCAGCCACGCCCCCCCAGCAGCACCCGCCCCTTGTCCTCCGTGGGACCCCGGTGTCCCCACCCCCGGGTGGCTCGGTGGGGGGACAGTGACCCCACGTCCCTCCCCACAACCCGCAGACATTCCTCCAGCTCCGGTCACAGGGGTTTATTGGGGCCCGGCCTCCGCCGGCTCTGCCGCCACCGCCGGTGGCTCTTGGGGACGGGGCTGTCTCTTGGGGTCGGGGGTGTCGCCTCTGCCCCATTGCCAGCTGCTCCGCTCCAGTTGTTCCCTCTGATCCCCGATGCTGGCAGAGCGCTCGGGTCGGTCGGTCGGGCACGGAGGGGCCGAGAGGGGCTGAGGGGTCATCCGGGGGTCCCCTCCTGCCCGGTGTCTCCGTTACCGGGACGACAGCATCATCACGAACTCTGCGGGGCGAGGAGGGCACGTCAGGGGCCCGGGGCTCAGCCCTGCCGCGGCCCCAAGGGGAAGGGGTGCCCTCACCATCGAAATCCACATGGCCGTCCCCGTTGAGATCCACGTCCTGAAGGATCTCGTCCACCTCCTGCGCCTTCAGCTGCTCCCCGAGCAGCGCCGCGATGNTCTTCTCCTGCCAGCCAGCACCGGAGCCTCAACGGCTCCGGGGGGGACCGAGGGGGCCACCGGAGCAGCCATCAGGAGCAGATCCGTAAGGATCCCTACGCCAACCTCATGCTGCAGCGGGAGAAGGACTGGGTGTCCAAGATCCAGATGATGCAGCTGCAGAGCACTGATCCCTACCTGGATGATTATTATTATCAGGTACTCAGGGCAGCACCTTCCCCCTGGCCATTGGAGATGGGGTGGGAAGGGGATGTCAATCCAGGGAGAAGGGCAATGGGTTGTTTTCCTCCCTGGAAGAGGAAGGCAGAGGGACAGGGTGGGATCAGCATCCCTGGGATGAGCTGACTCCTTTTTGGGTGAGATTCCAGGAGTGAGATGTTGGGGTGCACTGATTTCATAGGTCTGGGATAACAGAGGAGCAGCTCCTCTCCATTGGAAGTGTGACAGAGCCAGGATAAAACCCCTGGAATGAGACAAGGGAGATGCTAAATGGAAAACTCAAGAAAGATCCTTGTCAGGGAAAGGCTGACTCTGATCTGACTGGGAATGGTGGTGGGGAACCCTATGGGAATCCAAGCAGTGCAGAGGAGAAGGTGGATAGGGAGGGATTGCTCCTGCTTTTTTCCATTTCAGGAATAGGGAATGTCAGACAGTGCTGGGAAAAGCCAGACTTGGAGCAGGTGGAGCAAGGTGGACAGTTTGAGGATCCCCAGGGAAAGAGGGAAATGTCTGGGATGGACACTGGGGACCTGAATGGGGTGGGAGAGCTGTGGTTCCTCTCCTGAGCCGGCAGAGTTTTTTTGGGATCTGTGGGTGAGCTGGTCCCAGTAGAGAAGAGGAACTGGTGCAGGATGTGAGTCAGCAAAGCTCCGCCATTGCAAAACGGGGTGGATGGGGTGGGGAGGTCCTGGCATGGTGCCAATGGAGCAAGGCAAACTAACTGGGATGTGCTGGGAAGAACTGGGAACCCCACAAGGAGAATGGATTTGTCATTGTCCTGAGAGAGGGCTGAGGAGAAGCCTCAATCTCTGTCATCCTGAGGGATGGGAGAGGAGGAGGGACTCAGCTGTGGCTTAAATGTTGATGTTGAGAAGATGATGGAGCTGAGGACAGGGAGATTGCCAATGGTTTTTTGGGAGAAGGCACTCAGCATTTCCTCTCCCTGCCTCAGAATTACTTCCAGAAGCTGGAGAAGTTGGCAGCAGCCGAGGAAGTGCATGGTGACGGCCCCAAGAAGGAGCGCACTAAACTCATCACCCCTCAGGTGGCCAAGCTGGAGCACACCTACAAGCCAGGTAAAGCCCTCCAGCAGCCCCAGGGCTCCTTTTATCCAGGGATTGAGGGGACTCATCCCTCGGCTTCCCTGCTCCCTGCTCTCTGCAGTGCAGTTTGAGGGCTCGCTGGGAAAGCTCACCGTCTCCAGTGTCAACAACCCTCGGAAGATGATCGACGCCGTGGTGACGTCCCGCAGCGAGGATGATGTGAGTTCCTCCTGGCCTTCCTCCCTTCCAACAGCCCTGTGGCTGCTTCCCACAGCCCTGATTCCCTCTTCCCTTCCTGGCAGGAGACAAAGGAGAAGCAGGTTCGGGATAAGAGGCGACAGACGCTCGTCACCATTGAGAAGGTGAGTTTAAGGGGGATCGTCCCGACCCTCAGAGGTCCATGGTGGGATCAAAAGTGGGCCAGCCCCACCCATTCTATGGTTCCCTGAGTGATCCATGCTTCCTGCAGACGTACAGCCTCCTCCTGGACGTGGAGGACTACGAGCGCCGCTACCTCCTGAGCCTGGAAGGGGAGCGGCCAGCCCTGATGGAGGAGAGGAAGCAGAAGATCTGTGACATGTATGACAATCTGAGGGGGAAGGCACCAGGGCAGGACAGGTGAGCGGGATTTGGGAGCTCCAGCACTCTGGGATCACTGAAACCAGTTGTCCATGGAACGGTTTGGCTCTGGCAGAGGGCTGAAGTAACCTTTTTTAGCCATTTTACCCTCACTGTGGTTACAAAGTTACGACTTCCATCCTCTCCCTCTGGCACAGTTGAGGATCAGGGATATCTTTCCCATGTAGTTTTTTCCTACCTCAGGGATGTTTTTTCAGGCCCACCAGGTGTGTTTTCCACCTGGTGCTGAGGCAGATCCAGCCATGGGATAGCCCTGGGATGCTCCCAGGTGAGGGTTGACACCTTTCTCCCTCCCTGCTCAGGCCGAGTGATGACCACTTCATGCAGATCATGTGCATCCGGAAAGGAAAGCGCCTGGTGGCCCGGATCCTGCCCTTCCTGGCTCCAGAGCAAGCGGCCGACGTGCTCATGGCCACGGCCAGGAACCTGCCCTTCCTCATCAAGAAGGATGCTCAGGATGAGGTGAGCTTCCAGAGGCTGGGAGGGCTCTGTGTGTCTGCAGGGTGGCATTCCTGCCTTTCCTGGGAGGGTGCCAGATGTTTGGAGAGAGAAGCTGTTTGCAGTTCCAGCCAGGCACAGGGAAAGGTGAGCAGCTCCCAGCTGTGTTCCTTTCTCCATAGGTGCTTCCCTGCCTCTTGAGGCCCTTTTCCCATGTCCTCTACCACCTTCCCTTGGGAACAGTCACCAGCCTTGTGCAGCAGCTCACCAACCTACCTCAGAGCGCCGCCGCTCCCACCAACCTGCACCTCACTGCTGTGCTCCAAAACAAGGTGCTCCTCATTCCCACCCCTTCCCACCCTTGGGAATTGCTCCAGCAGCCTCTCAGCACTGGGGTGTTCCCCTCGCTAATTAACGAGGGTGTCTGGCACATTAATTAATGGTCTGGGGTGGCCCTGGGCTCTGCTTCAGCCTGGCAGCAGCTTCTGGGTCTGTCCTGCTGTGCTCCATGCTCCAGTCCTGGATTTGGGGTGGGAATGTTGCTCCAGTAAATCTCTCCTGGGCTGGGAGTGGTCTGTGGTCTTTTCTTCCTCCTCCTGCAAAGGCAGGCAGGGATCTTCCTGCTCGTGCCAGCATTCCAGGAGGGTTGGGAAGTGCTGGGGATTCTCCAGTTCCCTCAAGGAATGCTTGGAGGTGACAGATCCCTTCTCTGTCCCCACAGTTTGGTCTGTCCCTGCTGTACCTGGTCCTGAGCCGAGGGGAGGAATTGCAGAGCTCAGACACAAACACAGAGCTGATGCAGGACAACCAATGGTAACTCCCTGTCCCGGGCTGGGATGCTCCTGCCTGGACTGTCACCACATTCCCAGCCCCTTGGGGTGGCAAAGGCACCCCCACACCTCTCACTGCTCCCTCCTCTCTCCCGTTTTCCCGGCAGGACGGAGCTGATGCTGATGGCGACCCGGGAGCTGCTGCGGATCCCTCAGGGAGCCTTGGCAAAGCCCGTGTCGATCCCCTCCAACCTGATCTCCCTCTTCTCCCGCTACGTTGACCAGCAGAAGCTGAACCTGCTGGAGACGAAATTGCAGTGAGTGCCAGCCCTCTTTTCCCGTGGGAATGTGGCCCTGTGCCACCAGGGGAATGGGAGAAGGGGGAAACCAGAGGTGGGGGTGCAGCTGGAGAAGGATTGGAGTGGGGAGGAGCAGCCTGGGGAGAAGGGAATTGTTGCCTCCCTCTGATCTCACCACTGGTGTTCCCTGGTTCCAGCTTAGTGCAGGGGATCCGGTAGATCTCCGTGGCTCCTCGCCACCACTGGAATGTTCCAGAGGAAGGAAGGAAGGATGGAAGGAAGGAAGGAAGGAAGGATGGAGGGCACACGGTTCACCCCACACCTCCCCCGACGCTCGGCCTGGCACATGGGGCGCATCCGCCCCCCAATCCCTGGATCAGCAGGAAGAGGGGGATGTTTGGCTGCTCCCCCCTTTCCCACAAAGTGCTGCCTTTCCCTGCAGCTCCCAATTTCCCCACGACTCCCTCTGCACCCCCAGAAACTGCTGCTTCCCCCCAAACACACACACACACCCCTCACACACCCACGCACACTACTGAGGATCCCGGGGAGCCCCTCGCTCCACATCCACGGCCAGGGGTTCTCTGCTCATTCCCTGCTCCTTCTGCAGCCCTTCCCACAAGCACTGAGCTCTGCTTCCTGCCCTTCCCCACACTTCACACACTTGTTTCGCACACTCGCCTCGTCTTCCCAAAATTCGGCTCCTTCCCTCCCCCCGGGATCAGCCCAGCAGCTCCGGGGTGGGGGGCACAGCCGGGTCTCTGTCCCCTCCGGATCAGATCCGGGTGGCTTCAGCTGTGCTGCTCCTCGGGAAGGTGGTTGTGGTGGTTGGGGGATAAATTTAATTTTTTTTTTTTTTTTTTTTTTTTTTTTAAAAAGAAAAAAAAAAACCAAGAGATTTGCACATGTAGGGATTTTACACCCCAGAATTCCTCCTGGCATTAACCAGCCCCTTCCTCTGCTCNCCCCATCCCTGTCCCTCTCCCTGTCCCCATTCCTAGCCGGGCCACTCCTTCCCCCGTCCATGTCCCCATGCTCGTCCCTGTCCCCCTGTCCCCATTCCTGTTGCTGTACCTAGCGCGGCCACCACCGGCCCCATTCCTGACCCCGCCCCCGTCCCCATCCTTTTTCCTGTCCCCATCCTTGTCCCTGTCCTCATCACTATCCCCGCGGCCACCGCCGGCCCCATTCGTGCCCCCCCATCCCTATCCTTGTCCCTATCCCTTTCCCTGTCCCTGACCCCATATCCAGCAGGGCCACCCCTGTCCCGTGATCGGTTGGGGCTGTCCCTTCCCTCCTTTCCATCCCCACCCGTGTTTCCAGGAGGACACCCTTGTCCCTGTCCCCATCCCGAATGGGACACTCAGAGCCCTCATTCCTGGGGTGCTCCCCGAGTTTCCTTCAGGGAGCTGGCAGGGACAGGGGTGTGTCCCCCAGGAGTTGCTGAGCCGCCCTTTACCGGGCTGGAAGACGGTGACAAACCCACTTCAGGGGACACCCCATCCCCTGGCGTCCCCAGCTCCCATTTTGGGGTGCCATCCCAGCGTTCCTAACCGTGGCCGGGGGCTCCCCAGCCATGTCCTTCCGGAAGGTGGTGCGGCAGAGCAAATTCCGGCACGTGTTCGGGCAGCCGGTGAAGACGGACCAGTGCTACGATGACATCCGCGTGTCCCGCGTCACCTGGGACAGCACCTTCTGCGCCGTCAACCCCTCCTTCGTCGCCATCATCGTGGAGGCCAGCGGCGGCGGCGCCTTCCTCGTCCTCCCCCTGCACAAGGTGACAGCAGGGCGGTGACGCGGGGAAGAGGGGGGTTGTGCCCGTGGGTGACCCCCTCCCCGCTGTCACTCTGTCCCCAGACCGGACGCATTGACAAGTCGTACCCCACGGTGTGCGGCCACACGGGCCCCGTCCTGGACATTGACTGGTGTCCCCACAACGACCACGTCATCGCCAGCGGCTCCGAGGACTGCACCGTCATGGTGAGGGGTGGCCCAGGACCCCGGGGGGTGGCAGGGTCACCCCGCTTCACTCACCATCCCCTCTGTACCCTCAGGTGTGGCAGATCCCCGAGAATGGGCTGAGCCAGCCGCTGACGGAGCCGGTGGTGGTGCTGGAGGGCCACTCGAAGCGCGTTGG